CTTACCTCCACTCCAAGCCGCCACTGCTGAGCTGCCGGCGACCATGGCTTTTGTGCTTTCCCCTGTTGAGCGCTCTCCGGAGGCCACCTCCATAACTTCGTTCAGAGAATCGTTTGGCAGACTTTGAATACAGATTTGAAATCAGCATCAAAAAATACGTCTACCAGTATAGGTCTCATTTCAAATGGCCACTTCGACTTGGGATCCTTCCCTTGTTAGATGAAGTAGCGGGCTGTCTTCTCAGCTTGGTCTGCTCCCATTCTCCTGATCTTCACCATCGTTCTTTGTAGCAAATGCAGGGGATTTGTTATTATAATATTGAGGTGATCTATTAAACACAATTTTATGCAATGAGCTGGTATTCATAGGCTTATGGGACGTCTGTGAGTCAATAGAAGTGCTTTCTCGTTACTGCTGCAGACAGGTGGTGCTAGCAGAAACGGTTTTCACGACAATTGCGAGCATTGGCTGAGACATTCCTCAACCTCAGCTTTCTACTTTACTCATCTCTACTTGGATATGAAAAGGTTTGACTACACTCAAGGAGCGCCACATACAACTTATTTGCCTATAACAGAGTGCTTTACAGAAAAATTCAGTTCCTAGCTTAGTAGCCTGAGCGTTCTCATTTTCGAGTTAACGAGACAACACACCTGTAGCAGGATGAAAGGATGTAATTTTCTGACATAAAATGACTTGATCTTTTAGGCTCCCCCATTCCGGCCGCTTGTTTGACCAGTGAAGAAGCAGAAATGATCTCAAGGTGGTATGATAGGAAAAAGAAAGTGACAGTCAGGCTAAATATTACATCCGCCGAGTCTCCGGAAAAAGTCACGAGTCGAAATGTCGTTTTCGAAATTAAAGGTTGATCCTTCTGCTAAATCTGAGATTTCAGAACTGAACACTGACATTTCTTCTCTGTAGGTTCTACCCATCCTGATGAAATCGTGCTCTTATCGGCTCATATTGATTCCTGGGATGTTGGTCAGGGAGCTCTGGATGACGGTGGTGGCATGGCAGCCGTGAGAGCTGCAATGTTGGCCATCAAGCGATTTTCGCGAGTCAATCCTGATTTCAAACCGAAAAGGTGATTCTCTTGTTTTTCGTAGTTGCACCAGTCCTTGGCCGCTGGTAGGAGAGCGAGCATTACAGTTTTACTGGAAATTTTATTCTTTCGACAAAAGCTAGCAGTTGGTATTCTTTGAATCGTCTTTAGATGCCTGTATCATGCTCCCCACACCACTACCGTATTACAAGCTAGTGATGTACAGTAGTTCCACTAAAGTTCTGTTGTTTCAGCCATTGAGATAGTGTTGAAGTCGATTATTTACATTTACAGAATAGGAAAGTGCAATATACGCGAAATAGAAGTATCCTTAAAAAGACCTGTGAACCGAAGAAATGACAGGTCTCGGTGAAACTACGAAAACGTTCTGTATGTGAGCACTAGCTCGAAGAAAATGATATTGAGCGGATTTGTGCTTAAAGGCACAGTTCACGATAATTCAATGGGCGGGAACGTCAGTGGCTTTCCCGATCGACGTCACGTCCACATCAGACGAGTGTCGAGACAATACAGATTGCAACTATTCGTTTTAGGACCCA